TAGTATCCCTCTTGGTGCCCTGGTCCCTTTGCCTAGCTTCCCTCTTGGTGCCCTGGCACATCTCTGCCCCTTCTCGCTCAGCCCATCAGCACCCCAGGGCTGCTTTCCCCTGGGCCTTTTCCAGCACGTTGGAGGCAGTCCTGACCTGCTGGTTTCCCCTGTGCGCCCTCCCGTCCCAGTCAGCCCTGCGCCTGGGGTTCCTCCCGTCTGGCTGTTGGTAACACTCCCTTTTTCTTCACAGGTGGCCTTGCCAGCTCTGTCCCCCACCATGCAGATGGGCACCATCGCGCGCTGGGAGAAGAAGGAGGGCGACAAGATAGGTGAAGGGGAGCTCATAGCAGAGGTATCCCGGGGACGTTGGCTGGGCTGTGTTTGTCACGAGCTGCCTGTGCATCCTGGGTTCTGTCCCTGACTGCCTTCGCTGGAACACAGATTGTGGGTTCGGGATCGCGGATCCAAACAGATGCTGTTGGGAACAAGTGGCCAACAGCCTTTCAGAGCTGGCTGCTGCTTTTCCTCTTTGTGAGCAGGAGCAGCACTTCACCTGTTTGAGAGCTGCTTTCCTGCAGCTGGTGCCACAGGGTGCTCTTTTTCAGAACTGTGTATTGTGACCCTGCGCTGTCGGGCTGGAAGGCTCTGAGCTCGCTGGTCTTTGCTGCTGCTGTAACGATCCTCTTGTTCTCTTTCAAAGGTGGAGACAGACAAAGCAACAGTTGGCTTTGAGAGCCTGGAGGAATGCTACTTGGCCAAGATCCTGGTGCCAGAGGGAACAAGAGATGTTCCTATTGGGGCCATAATATGTATCACAGTAGAAAAGTACGTATTTTGCTAACCCTTGAGCTGAATTTCCTCTCTTGGGGCTTCTTGGATGCCTTGTGTGAAAGGCTTAGAGACAGTCCTCTGACTGTTTTTGTGGTTCTGTGTTTTCTTCTAGGCCTGAACATGTTGATGCCTTTAAAAATTACACTCTGGATTCTGCAGCGTCTGCCCCCCCCGCAGCCTCAGTGCCTCCCCCTCAAGCTGCAGCTCCCTCATCACCACCCCCGCCTTCTCCTCAGGCTCCTGGCAGCTCTTATCCTCCTCACATGCAGGTAAGAGAGCATTGCTGATGAGTTAAGGTTTGTGGCACTCCCTTCCTGTCCTCGGCATTGCTAGCTCTGGGACGTTGTGTCATAAATTCTACCTGGAGTGGAAGTTATTCGCTGTGGTTGCAGGCCTGTGTGCCACTCGAACTGCTCCATGCTTAAAGCAGGTGCTCGGGGAGGTCCCAGAAGCAGGAAATTATTTTAGCATCCCATGTGCTAGTAGAGGAGAGACTCGTCTCTCCAGGATTGTCATGCAGTACGGAAAAACGTGATACATTTATATTAGTTCTGGTATAAGGAAACCTCGTGCGAAGCGTGAATGAGGTCCGAAGACCCTCCCTGCCTCTCCAAGCAGACCTCAGGTCTGTGATACTCATGAACACACTCGATGTGTTTGTGGGTGACCAGTAATGAGTTGTACCTGAGGATAATTATTTTTACCTTGCTTAGATACTGAAGTGTTCATCCACTGCTGTTGTGTTTGAGCACTCTGTAGTAGGGTATTGCTGTGACAATCCTTTGAAAAAGAGCATTTGGTATGCTACAGCTCATTTCGCAGATGAGACACGTGGGAACTGATCTCTCTGTGCTATGCAGAGTTAGTAATTGAGTAAAGCTTCGTTAAAGGCTGCTTCATCTGACTTGTGCTTTAGCCACTCGACTTGCTTATTCCCCACGGTTGGCCCTATCTGCCTAGTTCTGCTGTGAAGCTGTGCCTACACGTGGTGTGTCTGTTGCACAGCTGCGTGCATCCGCACACCTACAGCATCTCCGAGTGCTCCCTGGGATACAAGTCTGTACAGCTTTTAAAGGGGCCAGACCTCTTTGTCGCAGAGTAGCTCGCCTCGGTCTTCGTTTTAGCCTTGCAGGTAGTAGCTGCAAGACGTTCCCAAGGTGATGGTGGGAATAATTGTTTTGATATATAGATTTCTTGCCTTTTGCTTGCTTTTTTGCTTAGGCCTTGATAAAAGAAGCCACATGAGCAGTATGGCATCATACTGTGCTGTAATGGAGCCAGATCTAGAAGTGCATTAAAGGCTGGTAAACCTACTTCTTTAGGTTGGCATCGTTCGGTCAGGAGTTAAAACTGTGTTCCTGTTCCCTTTGGATTACCAGAGTCTGATTGACTTGTATGTTCTGGCTTCCCAGGTCACGCTCCCTGCCCTGTCGCCAACCATGACAATGGGCACGGTGCAGAGATGGGAGAAGAAGGTTGGGGAGAAACTGAATGAGGGAGACTTACTGGCAGAAATTGAGACAGATAAAGCCACAATAGGTGAGTCCAAAGCCAGGAATGGATGAGGTGCCCTTAAAAGGAGAGGATCCAGAGCAGCCTCTGTGCCAGCTGTACTCCTGGCTGCTCAGGATGTGAAGCTGTGGGGCAACTAAAACAGGTTTTGTTTACTTCTCGTGCCATTGGAGCTCTTAAAAACACTTGTACTCCTTCATCAGTCCTTCTTGGTAACACACAGTGCCTGGAGATGTTTCCCCAGCTGTTGTACTGAAAAGGATTCTCTTGCCTGCTATATAGGGGACAGGGCTTTCGCTACCTACATCTTCAGAAGCAGCGTTTAGAGGAACGCTTCAGCTGCATCAGGCACCAAACCAGTTTTGTTTCTTTCCCTTATAGGCTTTGAAGTGCAGGAGGAAGGCTACTTGGCAAAAATCTTGGTGCCTGAAGGAACAAGAGATGTGCCGTTAGGAACAGCTCTCTGCATCATTGTGGAGAAAGAGTCCGATATTCCAGCCTTTGCTGACTACCAAGACACCGCGGTAGCTGACATGAAGGCACAAGCTGCTCCTCCTCCGCCTCCACCTCCTCCTCCACCAGTAAGGACCATTCTTAGCATGTGAGAGAAGTTGTGGGGACTGTTAGGAGGTCTGATCTGAACTGTTCTTCTGGTTTGACAGTGTGAAGCCCTAGGTTCACCAACAGTGTTTATGATTCTGTGCTGCAAGGCTTTCTCAGGTGTTTGTGATAGGTCACTTGAGCAATGGCTAGTTTGCCCTCCAAAGACTGGAGCCGATATTAAATCGTTACGATCTCTTCTCCAGCCTGTTGCTTCTGCCAGTTCTGATGCCTCATCCCTGAAAACTGGGAGCATAAGTAATTCATTTCACCTTTGTCTGGTGTATACTTCAGCAGCTTAGTTGGGAGAACTTCCCAGGGAGTTCTTGTTTTCATTTCTGGCACTGGGAAATTCCTCTGAATCTGAAAATTCTTTTAGATTAGGGACTGGTTTTGCTGGTCTCTTGACTGGTAGGTAGAAGGTCCGAGGCTTTTGCTGAATGACCCTGAAGCTAATGACTGTGATTCTTCTGTTAAGGTGGTGGCAACTCCCGCTGCTGCTCCTCCTCCCCAGCCCGCTGTTCCTTCCGCGCCAGCAGTTCCCACATCTGGGCCTCCCCGGAAAGGAAGGATCCTGGTTAGTCCCCTGGCAAAGAAAATGGCAGCAGAAAAAGGAATTGACCTTGCCCAAGTGAAAGGTAGGTTGCCCATCCCTTTCGTTGCTCTTGCTATCAAGTGCCGGTCCCTCTAGGTACATGCTTCCCCGTTTTCTTTCCCCCCTGTCAGGAACATCCTGGCTGTGCAGCTGTCTTCACCACAGGTTGTGCTGAGTGACTTTTCTCTGCTAACACTGGTACCTTTAGCCCCCTGTCAGGAACATCCTGGCTGTGCAGCTGTCTTCACCACAGGTTGTGCTGAGTGACTTTTTCTCTGCTGAGTAACACTGATACCTTTAGAAACAATGCGCAGTGGCAGATAATGGAAATCCTCTTTTCTTTTCCTTTGACCCTTCTAGGTACTGGACCAGATGGAAGAATCACAAAGAAAGACGTGGAGTCGTTCGTGCCACCAAAGGTTGCTCCAGTGAGTAGGCTTGAGATCTGTAAAACTGGGTGTTTTATTCTAGCGATGGAAACGCTGTGTAGAAACGCAGCTGCTGCATGGAATTGGTATGCTGGGATGGTTGAGCGACGAGGCTGTGGCGGCTGTTAGCTTGACCTCGCAGAAACACGGATAAAGGGGTTTTTTCCTTTAATTGTCCCTTTGGTATTTCACTGAGGGAGAAATACGGGGCTTGTAAAGAACCTAGTGGGTGCTGGAGAGGTGAGGCTGGAGTAGAAATACCTGCTGCTTTTAAGCAAGAGGCAGCTTAGCCTCAGCTCTTGTCCCACGTGCGGAATGACTCCGCATGGCTGATGTGTGGGTGCTGCTGTGAATTACGCTCTCGTGCTCTGACTGCAGGCGCCAGCACTGGAGGCCGTTCCCCCTGCGGTTGCAGCAGCGCCAGTGGGGACCTTCACAGATGTCCCTATCAGCAACATTCGGCGGGTAAGATGGTTTTGTTCCTTTCTGGTGGCGTTATTTGCAGTCAGGAATTTTGCAAAGTGACTTCTTTTCATGGCTCCTGTTGTATACCTGCAGGTCATCGCTCAGCGGCTGATGCAGTCCAAGCAAACGATACCTCACTACTACCTTTCTATTGATGTCGACATGGGAGAAGTACTGGTGCTAAGGAAGGAACTCAATCAGGTACCGCATTAAGGCATGGCGAGAGCGTGTGTGGGGGCGGCTGCATTCTCTCACGGGTTTGCCCGCCCTGCTTTTGGTTATATGTCATTTTGTCTTGGAAAAAAAGAGTATTTTCAGTGCCTTTTCTGGTCTGTCTGTGACAGAATGAGACTTTTTACCAAGGTCCTGTGAACTGATTTCTGACTTCTGTAGGAGGGCTGGTTGTGTTCTGCTTGGCGGTGTTCAGTTCTTCCAGTTGGAAAGTAGGGCAGAAGGGTAAGAAAGTTTTTTAAGAGTAAAAAGGGTCAGAAATTGAAGCAAAACGACAATTCCAGGCTAAGTTTAGGGAGAAACAGACATTAAAAAAAGATTGTACCTTCTTAAACTGTGAAGGAGACGCGTTCACCTCCTAAATTACCGTGGCACTTTGAATATTAACGCTTACAAGTAGCGTGATTTGTTTTCTAACGTTTTCCCTAACCAAGGCTGCGTGGCAGGGATTCTTAAAGTTACCTGAGTTCATGCAGAAGAGACAAACTAACACCTCAAATGTGGGGTTTTTTGTTTTGTTTTGGTTTTTTTTTCTAATTTTCAGGAGGTCTCGGACAACATTAAGCTTTCTGTCAATGACTTCATAATTAAAGCTTCTGCTCTGGCATGCCTGAAGGTGCCCGAGGCAAATTCTTCGTGGATGGACACAGTTATTAGGCAGTAAGTTTATGGTACGGTCGAAGCCAGAAACTTTCTTTGTTCAGTAGGGAGCTCGTGGCAAAATAGCAGACACGCTGGCATTTGGAGGGGGGAGGGTATAATGCAAAGGTTGAGGGGCTTTTGTTAAAGTGCTGAGAGACGTGTCTGAGGCCAGCGTACAAGCTGAAATAGCTGTTGCAAAATTACTAAGAATTGAGAGTTGTCTGAACAGTTGTGAAATTTCTTTAAATGATCTTGCTGGGGTAACTGGCATCTTGTTTGTGTCTTGCAGAAACCACGTGGTGGATGTTAGCGTTGCAGTCAGCACTCCTGCAGGGCTCATAACCCCCATTGTGTTTAATGCACATATAAAGGGCCTGGCTTCCATTAGTAAGGATGTGGTGTCTCTGGCAACTAAAGCCCGAGAAGGTAAACTTCAGCCTCATGAATTCCAGGTGAGAACCTTGGATTGCTGTTCAATATTGGTGCCTTTGACTTCTGTTCCGAACGAGCCAAGCCCATTTTTCTGATGTTTCAGCCATGTTTATTGATTTCCCCCTTGAAACCGCTTTGGTGAATTTGACTATGAATGTATTTTTCTTGCAGGGTGGCACTTTCACGATTTCCAATTTAGGAATGTATGGGATTAAGAATTTCTCTGCCATCATCAATCCACCTCAAGCCTGCATCCTTGCCGTTGGTTCCTCAGAGAAAAGGCTGGTGCCAGCTGACAACGAGAAGGGGTGAGTGTTGACCCGATTCTGCATATACTGAGCTTCTGAAGTCAGACTGTGAGGTAATGGTTAGTTTTCTAATACTCCCCTTAAATTATCACCCAAAGAATATTGTTGACGTGCTGCTTGCGGTACCTCCTGAAGAAGTACAGTGAGATCTTGTGCACAGGTGTCACCGGGGTGTTAAGGAGACATACAGTGGGCGATGAACAACCTGCCCCGTGTTTCTTCTTGCAGCTCCTTTGCAAGTCAAGGAAAAGCTGTTTCTGCGAGGGTGGGAGGGTTAAGCCGTGGAAAAGAGTCTGGGATCCACAAGAGTGTCAGGTTTTTTTTCTTCTTCCAGGTTTGATGTGGCCAGCGTGATGTCCGTTACGCTTAGCTGTGACCATCGTGTTGTAGACGGAGCAGTTGGAGCACAGTGGCTTGCTGAATTCAAGAACTTCCTTGAAAAGCCAGTAACCATGCTGCTATAATTTAACCGTGCAAGCAAAACTTTCCTGGGTCACACTGTTTTGTTTCAGACAAGCTATCTAGACTGTAGTGTTCAGACTTATTAAAAGAGTTCCTTTTTTATTTTAAATATGTATTATATTACCTGGTAATGTTATTACCAGTCTGTACAGAAAAAAAGTTTGCAAAAGTGCTTTTCAGAGCAATATTACAGCTACACTGTATTTTTATACAGTCAGATTACTTGCAAACTCGTCCAAAACAGAGGTAAGCATCCCAGATTTAAATATGATCTGGGCAGTAACGCGTACTGCCATCCGCTTCTAAACAGGGTGAGCAGGGGGGTGCATACCAAGCAATTCCATGACCTCGGTCTCCCCAGAATTGGAATTATAAACGCCTGCTCACAGGAGTTCAGATGAGATGGCAGCTGGCATGTACGAGTTAATGGAAGGTGAATTCCCTTGTGATCCTGTTCTCCTGCTGGGGCGGGCGACTATGACAGAGGCACTAAGGGACTGAAGCGCCTGGGAATAGTTTCTTAAAGGCCAAGTGTTGGCATTCCAGATCTCTCTTGGAATTTGGCACTGGTCTTCTCAGCTGTGTGATCCCTTTTGAGCACTTTAAGGTGAAAGAGCACTGATATCTGTGGGGTGACAGCTCTCGGATACCACAGGGAATGTGCTGTCTTCTCATGGACTTTCACTTACATGTGCTTTTTGTGTGAAAACGCCTTAGTTGCTGCTCCTCCCGCTAAGTTACTGTCAAACCGTGATGGCATGCAAGTACCTGTTTTGCAGAACGTTCAAGAGAATCGGTGTGTTGGAACCCGCTGTAGGCAAATCACACACACGAATAATCCCATCAGTGGATATTAATCATGGGATGACTCCAGTGTTCGGAATTTTTTTTGTTTTTTCAGCCATTCTCTGTAGGCAAATCACACACACGAATAATCCCATCAGTGGATATTAATCATGGGATGACTCCAGTTTGGAATTTTTTGGGGTTTTTTAGCCATTCTAACAGTGGAAGTTCTGTTGGTCACTGGCACTGCGGTTCTTCCCTGAATTGTCCGCGTTGCCCCAGCCTCAGTACGCTGCAGAGTGTGCTCTCCGTGTACGCAGTGTGTGTGAAACGCGTCGGCGCATTGTCGGACTGGTGTCCAGTCACCCCAGTCACTGTGTCCTGAAAGGGGTGCAGTGCTGAACATGCTCAAAATCCACTTTCCATATGGAAATGTTCATGTAAAAAGGACAATGACCCTGTAGTAACTACAACGTGACCAGGAGAATTAAATAAGGGGAGAGAAGTTTTAAAGGAGAGGTATAAGTGAGCTGTTATGCTGTACATTGCATCGAGTACTGTCTCCTGTAAAGTTCTACAAAATTCACTAAAGATATTGAAAGAAAATACTGTGGAAATTAAATATTTTTGTGGGAACTATTTAACGTCTGGTTGCTGTGATACCTGGTTTTCATGCCTGGCTTAAGCAAAAAACGTGCATCGAGATTCTGGTTTTTCTTTAATGGTCTGAAATGTCTTGGTGCCAGAAAAACCTACGTGCTATTAAATGTTTGGAATTGACAACTACTAAAACACGTTCCGGTGCTGTTCTGTTCAGTCGTGTGTGGCTGGTGCTGCTGCGCGCCTCTCGGTGACCCTATTAACCCTAAACTGCAGTCACAGTGCTCCCGAGCAAGACGTGCTTTCTTACTGTCATGCAACTGAGCTTGCATCCTCCTGGCTTCCTTGCTGCACTGTTCACCAGAACCTCAGCTTCTGGCTACAGCGACCTTTCATTTTCTTCCTGTGCTTATCCTACGGGAACAGCGAGCGAATGTCAGGCTCTGGAATGCTTGCAACGCAAGAAACCATACTTGGGAGTGCCGACGGTGACTTCGGGTACTGCAAGGGGCCAGCTCAGCTCGTGCAGTGGCAGACTTGCAGCTGGAGCCACGCAGGAGTGTTTCAGTACAGCCTTCTGAGTCGCTTGGAAGCACAGAAGGGGGAAGGCCGGGAGTTCCTACTCTTGCATAAGCCCAGATTTTCAAGTTGCAGCCCCAAACCAATTGGTCTGTTTCTGACCTAATGAGTATTGCTACAGAAACACAGCCGTCGTGCAACTGTGGGGTAGAAGCTGTAAGAAGGATGTTTTACCCAACCAGTCGCGAAACTAACGTCACTTGAACTTGTGTTTGTCGCTTTCCCGATTAATTCTAGCCATGATCAGTAATCCCCGGAGGTGTTCTGTGTTGCTTTGTACTACGCTGTGTTTTGTGTGAGCGTCAACTAATGCAGATCCATTTCCTAGCCGAGGTGCTCCAAGAATCGCTGGTTTCCCACAAGAACAGGTCTGTTTGGCAGCCTTACACAGAGGTTACCAAAGCGGTAAGAAGTGAGGCGAAGCACGTTCGGTGACGGAAGAGACTGCAAGGCCAGTTCCAGCCAAGAGCAGCAGAGACCGTGCTAAGAAGAGCAGCAGCACGCAGGGCAGCTCCTAGGGCTGGGTATGGCACCGCCGCCGGTTGGCCTGGCATTAAATACTGGAGAGGTGCTCTAACCACGGAATCCAGCCGTCTATTTATTGAGCAAAGAATGTCACAACTTAAGGCAAACTGGATGATGTAGTAAAGCATGTGCACATTTACAGTTCCTCCCTACACCCGTGAACCTACTCAAGCATTCCATGTTTACCCTCTTTACTTCCTTTTCCTAAGCTTGGTGGTGCTGGGATTCTTCCAGGTGTCTTTGTCTACATGCACCTTCTAAAATTATTCGAGGTATTCACCCCTGAAGATTAAAAGGTCAATGAAAAAACCTCCTCACCAGCTACAAGTTAGGATTCTTATTTCAGGTTTTTGGTTCTGTCATTCGTGAATGTGAACCGGAGAGAACGTGGTCTTTAAGGATCCGGCTTGGCGACTGGCAACGTGATAAACAACACCTGTTTTCCTTTGTTAAATACTGCTGTTGCTGTTTCTTCATCCACCAGTTCTGGCAGATTGAGCTCTAACTTGTATTTTCCAGGGACTTCAATGATTAGGTCATCCTAAACCACAAAAATTGAAATACTTGATTAACTGACAACGAAACAGCAGCAAGCATTTCTAGAGATTGGATACTAAACAGAAAATACACGATTATTCTTTCTACTGTTTACCTTTGAAATCCTCAGATCGCACTCAGAAACCGAGCTAACCTTGGGCAATTCAATTCTGAGTTCAATTTTGAGTGGTTTCTTGTTTGCATCCTTCACGGTGATCATTTTGTAGACGGGGTTCCTTTGCTTCTCTGACAGCTCGGTGCTGGTTATTTCCTCGATCAGTTGCACTTTAGACTGCGTAGGATTTTCCTTCGGCAGCAGAAGAGCGCCGCTGCAGCCTTCTCCCTCCATGCTGTGCAGCAGCTGGTCAAGGGTCAGGTCTTTCAAGACAAACAAGGTTTTCACACATAGCACGCGATGCCACTTGACAAACACATGAAAGTTTGAACTGTAATTAATTAATTGTCATTAGCAATTTGGTCAACTGAAGACTCTTACTGGCAGTTTCTCCTTCGTCCATGATTTGGTTTTATTGCCAGCCAGTTCGAAGTTGTTGTTCTCAGAACACTAGTGACGACAGCAACTCCTTGTACTCCCATTAGAGAGAAAGAAACTTGGCACCTCAAAGGATCAAAACCCTAGCAGAGTTCCCATGCCTACTAGATAGAGGAAAAGAGGAATTTGCTGTTCCAGTGTCACTAGTTTCTCCATTATAAAATACCAGAGATGAATGCAAAAGAGTGACAGCAGACCTCTACGTACCCATCTTGGTGTTCCGACTGAGGTGCGGAGCTGGCATCTGCCTTCCTTTCAGACGTCGCTGCATCGTTTCCAGGCTTCCTTTCAATTTGAACGATTCAACGGTGTACGAATAAGAAAGAGTAAGGTTGTATCGTTTCTCAACGAATTTAAGTGTCAAATGGATCAGGTGGTCTGTTTCCTCCGGGTTTTCTTCTCCCCTCCGAAGGACAGCTGGGTTATATGCAACATCTATAATGCTGTACCGGTCTGTAAGAGTAAGTTACGTGTCAGAGTTGTTGCTACGGAACCACATACTTGATAATCGCCCGATTTAAAACAAATCAATTTGCGGCTTCGGGGCAGACAGCTAATTCTATCAATCTTGTCTAGGGGTGCCCCCTCGCCGTGTTGTGAGTTCCAGGAGGAGCAAGAGCACACGATCCAAGTCAAGGTGGGTCAGAGAGACTCCTAGCTCCTAAGTAGTTCCAGGATTTAGATGCGTGCCATTTTTGTGTTTCTCCGGGAATTTTTCAAAAGAGGAAGGACTTGTTTGCAGTCCCTGCGGAGGGACACCTGTTGCATCCCTGCCTTGCCTCCCCCCACTCCCCGAGCCAAGAGCTGGCGGCAGCACGCCACCCCTCTCTGTTGCGGTGTCGCGGTGAGGATCTGCGTGCCTGCCGTGCTGGAGGAAGATGCACTCGGGGTGAGAGGCACCTCCTTTGGGCCATACCTCCTTGGGGCCATGACATACCTCCTTGGGGCCATACCTCCTTGGGGCCATGA